CCCTGTGGGACCCCGCTGGTCACAGGTGCCCACTCTGACACCTCGCCACGTACCATGACTCGCTGCTGTCTTCCTGTCAAGTATTCCCTGATCCATTGTAGTGCCTTCCCTGTTATCCCTGCTTGGTCCTCCAGTTTTTGCACCAATCTCTTGTGTGGAACTGTGTCAAACGCCTTCTTGCAGTCCAAGAATATGCAATCCACCCACCCCTCTCTCTCTTGTCTTACTGCTGTCACCATGTCATAGAACTCCAGTAGGTTTGTGACACAGGATTTCCCGTCCCTGAAACCATGTTGGCTGCTGTTGATGAGATCGTTCCTTTCTAGGTGTTCCACCACTCTTCTCCTGATAATCTTCTCCATGATTTTGCATACTATACATGTCAGTGACACTGGTCTGTAGTTTAATGCTTCATGTCTGTCTCCTTTTTTAAAGATTGGGACTACATTTGCTGTCTTCCATGCCTCAGGCAATCTCCCTGTTTCGATAGATGTATTGAATATTGTTGTTAGGGGTACATATAGTGCCTCTGCTCCCTCTCTCAATACCCATGGGGAGATGTTATCTGGCCCCATTGCCTTTGAGGTATCTAGCTCACTCAGAAGCCTCTTCACTTCTTCCTCGGTTGTGTGCACTGTGTCCAGCACATGGTGGTGTGCCCCACCTCTCCGTCTTTCTGGAGCCCCTTCTGTCTCCTCTGTGAACACTTCTTTGAATCTCTTGTTGAGTTCCTCACATACTTCACGGTCATTTCTTGTTGTCTCTCCTCCTTCCTTCCTTAGCCTAATTACCTGGTCCTTGACTGTTGTTTTCCTCCTGATGTGGCTGTACAACAGTTTCGGGTCAGATTTGGCTTTCGCTGCTATGTCATTTTCATATTGTCTTTGGGCCTCCCTTTTTATCTGTGCATATTCGTTTCTGGCTCTACGACTGCTCTCCTTATTCTCCTGGGTCCTTTCCTTCTATATTTCTTCCATTCCCTAGCATACTTGGTTTTTGCCTCCCTGCACCTTTGGGTAAACCATGGGCTCATCCTAGCTTTTTCATTATTCCTGTTACCCTTGGGTACAAACCTCTCCTCAGCCTCCTTGCATTTTGTTGCTACATATTCCATCATCTCATTAACTGGCTTCCCTGCCAGTTCTCTGTCCCACTGAACCCCGTTCAGGAAGTTCCCCAGTTCCTCATTCCTATGTAGTCTCCTTTCTTGTAGTTTGGCTTCATTCGTCCTGGCCTTCCTGCTTCTCCCTCCACTTGTAGCTCTACTGTGTATTCGAAGCTTAAAACCACATGGTCACTGGCCCCAAGGGGTCTTTCATATGTGATGCCCTCAATATCTGCACTACTCAAGGTGAATACTAAGTCCAGCCTTGCTGGTTCATCCTCTCCTCTCTCTCTTGTAGTGTCCCTTACTTGTTGGCACATGAAGTTTTCCAGTACCACCTCCATCATCTTAGCCCTCCATGTGGGTCCAAGTTCTCCCAATCGATCTCCTTGTGGTTAAAGTCACCCATGATCAGGAGCTTTGTCCTGCATGCATGAGCTCTTCTGGCCACTCTAGCCAGTGTGTCAACCATCGCTCTATTGCTCTCGTTGTTCTCTTGCCTTGGCCTCCTGCTGTTCTGTGGTGGGTTATACATCACTGCTATTACCACCTTGGGACCTCCAGAGTGAAGCGTTCCCGCTATGTAATTACTTTCTTCTCCGCTGTCTCCTCTCTCCAGCTCATCAAAATTCCAGCGATTTTTGATCAGCAATGCCACTCCTCCACCCCCCCTGTTCCCTCTGTCTTTCCTCAGGATTTGGTATCCCATTGGAAAGATGGCATCTGTTATCATACCTGTAAGCTTGGTTTCTGTGAGAGCTATGATGTCCGGTGATGCTTCTTTGACTCTTTCATGCCACTCCTCCCACTTATTTGTTATTCCATCAGCGTTTGTGTACCATACCTTCAGTTTCCTTTCCAACACTGTGGTTTGGGGGGCCTGTGAGGGTGGGAGACCTGGTGGCATACTGTGGGATTCTATAGCTCGGTGTTGGGTGGAGGCTGTGGGTATGGACTGTAGTGTGTGTTGGGATAGTGTGATAGGTTGTATGGTTCTGAGAATAGTTGTGTGTGTGCTTGCCCTTGCTGTTCTGTTCTGCTCTGACTGACCTCTGCTGGTTCCATCTTGTCTCTTTTCCTAGCTCCTTTCGCTTTTTTCTCCTCTCCCTCAGCTGCTGTCGTTCTGATTTTGTTCTGTCTCTGTCTAGGAACACCCTCTTGTACTCTTCCGAGTATTTCAATCGTGGTTTCTCTTGGAGGATCCTGTTCCGCACTGTTTCCGTCCTGAGAATCAGCTTGATTGGTCGGTTTCTCCCCTTCGAGTTCCCCCCTATTCTCTGAAAATTTACAATCTCGTCCATCTCTTCACCTATTTCCGTGATGATTTTCTCAATCTCCTTTCTTTCTACCTGCTGCCTTTCAGTGTGTGTCCTTTCCTCTCTCTCCTGAAGCCCATGGATAAACACTGATTTTGCCCTTTCCTCCTCCCATTGCCTCACCCTCTGTGACTCTGGATCCTGCCTGTATGTGGTCAGTTTCTCCCTTGATTTTTCCAGTGGCTCTTGATAGCATGGTTGTGCCTCAGCATTCGACCTATCACCCTCTCCATCTGCAACCAGCTGTTCTTCCCTTTCACTCCTTGGTCCTCCTTGGCAGGCTGATATGACCTAGCATAATTCATAATTCCTTCCTTCCTGTTCGGCCTCGCAGCTTCACATGTTGTGTCTTCTCTGGTCACTGCCCCTGTAACTCGCTTCAGCCTATTTATCTCAACTTCTAGGACCCTTATCTTGGCTACTGCAGTTTCGACTTGTGCCTCCCAATTTTTTGTCTCATTCTCCAACCTCTTTTCCAATTTCACAGAGAGCTCTTTCTCCATTTTTTCAGAAAGCTCTCCTAATTTTCTCTCCCACTCTTGTTCCATCCTTTTCCACTGCTCCTCCATCCACTCCTCCCTACCAGAACCATTCTCATCTGATCCTTGGTTCCTGCGAGTCCCCACCATTTGTGTGTGTGTGTATGTGTGTGTGTGTGTGTGTGTGTGTGTGTGTGTGTACTCACCTAATTGTGGTTGCAGGGGTCGAGACTCAGCTCCTGGCCCCGCCTCTTCACAGATCGCTACTGGGTCCTCTCCCTCTCTGCTTCCTGAGCTTTGTCATACCTCTTCTTAAAACTATGTATGGTTCCTGCCTCCACTACTTCACTTGCTAGGCTATTCCACTTCCTGACGACTCTATGACTGAAGAAATACTTCCTAACGTCCCTGTGACTCGTCTGAGTCTTCAGCTTCCAGTTGTGAACCCTTGTTTCTGTGTCCCCTCTCTGGAACATCCTATCTCTGTCCACCTTGTCTATTCCCCGCAGTATCTTGTATGTCGTTATCATGTCTCCCCTGACCCTTCTGTCCTCCAGTGTCGTCAGTCCGATTTCCCTCAACCTTCCCTCGTACGACATTCTCCTGAGCTCTGGGACTAGCCTTGTTGCAAACCTTTGTACTTTCTCTAACTTCTTGACGTGCTTGACCAGTGTGTGGTTCCAGACTGTTGCTGCATACTCCAGTATGGGCCTAACATACACAGTGTACAGTGTCTTGAACGATTCCTTATTAAGGTATCGGAACGCTATTCTCAGGTTTGCCAGTCGCCCGTATGCTGCAGCAGTTATTTCGTTGATGTGTGCCTCCGGTGACGTGCTCGGTGTTATGGTCACCCCAAGGTCTTTCTCCCTGAGTGAGGTCTGTAGTCTTTGTCCACCTAGCCTATACTCTGTCTGCGGTCTTCTTTGCCCCTCCCCAATCTTCATGACTTTGCATTTGGCAGGATTGAATTCGAGAAGCCAGTTTCTGGACCACATGTCCAGCCTGTCCAGGTCTCTTTGCAGTCCTGCCTCATCCTCATCCAATTTAATTCTTCTCATCAACTTCACATCATCTGCGAATAGGAACACTTCAGAGTCTATTCCTTCCATCATGTCGTTCGCATATATCAAAAAGAGCACTGGTCCTAGAACTGACCCCTGTGGGACCCCGCTCGTCACAGGCGCCCACTGTGATACCTCTTCACGTACCATGACTCGTTGCTGCCTCCCTGTCAGGTATTCCCTTATCCATTGCAGTGCCCTCCCTGTTATATGCGCTTGAGTGTGTGTGTGTGTGTGTGTGTGTATGTGTGTGTGTGTGTGTGCGTGCGTGTGTGTGTGTGTGTGTGTGTTGTGTGTGTGTGTGTGTGTGTGTGTGTGTGTGTGTGTGTGTGTGTGTGTGTTTGTGTGCGTGTGTGTGTGTGTGTGTGTGTGTGTGTGTGTGTGTGTGTGTATGTGTGAAAATTAATGAACAATTTTCTGCAAGCCTATCAATATCACCGATGCCCTGAGCATTATGAAAGCTAAGGGCCATTATGCCTACAGACAAACTGGACCAAAATATTAGTATTACTGAAGAATAAGAAGGAACAGTACCTTGGCTGGAACTATTCACCAAAAACTCGCACCAGTAAGTATTTTGACGACGTTTCGGTCCTTGCTGAACCAGTTGTAACCTTTCCCTAGTCCAGGAAGGACCGAAGCCTCGTCGAAAGTGAGGATTTTCGGTGAAATGTATTAAAATTATTATTGCCTCGACAAGAAATTCTTGTAGGTGATGTAAAGGCGCAGTGAGAGCGAGACATAGATCACGATGTAGAGGCGCAGTGAGAGCGAGACAGATCACGATGTAGAGGCGCAGTGAGAGCGAGACATAGATCACAATGTAGAGGCGCAGTGAGAGCGAGACATAGATCGCTACTCAGTCACGAAAACAGCAGACCTCACTGACATTGTGTCACCACCTTTCACGAAGATAACAAAAATGTCGAGGTCATGGATCCAGAATTGTAGGACAACCTCTGGCGGTGAAGTCCCTGACTCCAGCATCTTCCCCCCCTTCCCTTCCAAATCCCCCTTTGCTTAGTATATAAGGTGGACCAACATACCCAGACCCTATCATACGCTCACTACCTGACAACATGAAGCTTGTGAGTGTTGCTGGAGGGGCAGGATTTAAGGAACCCACGAATCAGTTTTACGATTTTTCCATTGCCATTATGCTATATAAAGCCAGTAGCCTGTAGTGCCATATTTATCACTTATTTATTTATTGTCTCTTGCATACTAGTTCGTGATCTTGGCAACATAATAATGGTGCGTTCTGCTGCACTGCTAGGATTTAAGGAACCCACAAAACATTTAGCCATATAAACCCTGTAGTTTTCAATGGTACATTTAACCTTTTGCTAAATATATTATTTCTTGCTTGTTAGATCGTGATCTTGGCTGTAGTAGCTGTGGCAGTGGCTGACAAGTTGGCTGCCCCGCCTGTACTCATCGTTCGCAGCCAACAGGTCGATCCTGACGCTACTGGTGCCCACAGCTCTGACTTTGAGAGTGAGAACGGCATCAAGTTCCAGGTCTCTGGTTCTCAGGGTGCCAATGGAGGGTCCAACATGATTGGCTCGTGGAGGTCAGAGTCATTTTATTAAGATAATCTGTATATCATCTAAATATCCGCAATAACTTCTACTTGATCATATTTTTTCATACTTTAGAAACCTCTAAGACTCCAAATATCACAGTCTTCTGTCAGTCTTGGAGCATTTTGTGTCCTCTCTATTTCCATTCAGTTTAATTCCACAGTTTACCTCATATATTCCTTATATTTTTGCATGGTATCTAGGGTATCTAGCATATTCTCTGCTTCCTCCATGCATTCTATCTTAATTAATATACTTTGCTCACTCCTTGCTTTATGGATCTCTTCCTAATTTCCTTCTAGAGTTTAATTTTCGATTTCCTGTACAACTTACCATATTCTTATGAAAAGTTATAGACCTACAACTAAAGCCCAGAATCCGATCTTTTATGTTCCTGACTTAATACATTCAGTGTATTACTGTAGTATTGGTGCATCAACATTTGTGATTTGTACACCAGTTATGAAACATTTAAGCAAATCATTCTTATTGACTTAGGAGTGCAGAGTAAACATTACCTTCTGACTTCCTAATTTTACATTTTTCACTTTGTTACGTTAATGTTTATGGTAACACTTACAAGAAAGGGGTATTTCAAAGATAAAATTTCTAGTCACTGAATAGAGCAATCATTAATATTTCTTATAATTCACATTAAAACTAATGAGGATGTTACTTCTCAGCTACCCTCAGGAGGACGGTAGTGTAGTGTCAGTACAATTCGTGGCTGACGAGAACGGCTACCAGCCACAGTCCGACCAGCTGCCCGTGGCTCCTATATTCCCCCACGTAATCCCTCAGTTTGTCCTCGACCAGATCGCCTTCGCCGAGAAGGAGAAGAAGCTCCAGGAACAAGGGAACTAAGAAACTTTTTATTGATGTGTTTTTCTGGCTATGTTGGTAAACTATTTCTTTCTCGCTAGCTACACATGCTCTTGACACAGACGTGGCAGATACTCACAGTCTCAAGTGTTAATGATATTTATTGAATTTATTTATTAAATAACATTTTTACATGTAAAATAAAAAGTTTATATTATGATTAAGTTTTCTTTAGTGCTCATGGTGTGAAATTAGTAAAATACGGTAAATGTTCTCAGACCAAAAAAAAAGTCCATACCCTCCAGGTAGACAAGACGTTTTCAGTGCCTCCAGGTAGAGATGACATCTTCAATGCCTCCAGGTAGACATGACGTCTTCAATGCCTCCAGGTAGATATGACGTCTTCAATGCCTCCAGGTAGAGATGACGTCTTCAGTGCCTCCAGGTAGAGATGATGTCTTCAATGCCTCCAGGTAGACATGATGTCTTCAATGCCTCCAGGTAGAGATGACGTCTTCAATGCCTCCAGGTAGACATGACGTCTTCAATGCCTCCAGGTAGAAATGACATCTTCAATGCCTCCAGGTAGACATGACGTCTTCAATGCCTCCAGGTAGAGATGACGTCTTCAATGCCTCCAGGTAGAGATGACGTCTTCAATGCCTCCAGGTAGAGATGACGTTTTCAATGCCTCCAGGTAGACATGACGTCTTCAATGCCTCCATGTAGACATGACGTATTCAATGCCTCCAGGTAGACATGACGTCTTCAATGCCTCCAGGTAGACATGACGTCTTCAATGCCTCCAGGTAGACATGACGTCTTCAATGCCTCCATGTAGACATGACGTCTTCAATGCCTCCAGGTAGACATGACGTCTTCAATGCCTCCAGGTAGAGATGACGTCTTCAATGCCTCCATGTAGACATGACGTCTTCAATGCCTCCAGGTAGACATGACGTCTTCAATGCCTCCAGGTAGACATGACGTCTTCAATGCCTCCAGGTAGACATGACGTCTTCAATGCCTCCAGGTAGACATGACGTCTTCAATGCCTCCATGTAGACATGACGTCTTCAATGCCTCCAGGTAGACATGACGTCTTCAATGCCTCCAGGTACAGATGACGTCTTCAATGCCTCCATGTAGACATGACGTCTTCAATGCCTCCAGGTAGACATGACGTCTTCAATGCCTCCAGGTAGACATGACGTCTTCAATGCCTCCAGGTAGACATGACGTCTTCAATGTCTCCATGTAGACATGACGTCTTCAATGCCTCCAGGTAGACATGACGTCTTCAATGCCTCCAGGTAGAGATGACGTCTTCAATGCCTCCAGGTAGAGATGACGTCTTCAATGCCTCCAGGTAGAGATGACGTTTTCAATGCCTCCAGGTAGACATGACGTCTTCAATGCCTCCATGTAGACATGACGTCTTCAATGCCTCCAGGTAGACATGACGTCTTCAATGCCTCCAGGTAGACATGACGTCTTCAATGCCTCCAGGTAGACATGACGTCTTCAATGCCTCCATGTAGACATGACGTCTTCAATGCCTCCAGGTAGACATGACGTCTTCAATGCCTCCAGGTAGAGATGACGTCTTCAATGCCTCCATGTAGACATGACGTCTTCAATGCCTCCAGGTAGACATGACGTCTTCAATGCCTCCAGGTAGACATGACGTCTTCAATGCCTCCAGGTAGACATGACGTCTTCAATGCCTCCAGGTAGACATGACGTCTTCAATGCCTCCATGTAGACATGACGTCTTCAATGCCTCCAGGTAGACATGACGTCTTCAATGCCTCCAGGTAGAGATGACGTCTTCAATGCCTCCATGTAGACATGACGTCTTCAATGCCTCCAGGTAGACATGACGTCTTCAATGCCTCCAGGTAGACATGACGTCTTCAATGCCTCCAGGTAGACATGACGTCTTCAATGCCTCCATGTAGACATGACGTCTTCAATGCCTCCAGGTAGACATGACGTCTTCAATGCCTCCAGGTAGAGATGACGTCTTCAATGCCTCCATGTAGACATGACGTCTTCAATGCCTCCAGGTAGAGATGACGTCTTCAATGCCTCCATGTAGACATGACGTCTTCAATGCCTCCAGGTAGACATGACGTCTTCAATGCCTCCAGGTAGACATGACGTCTTCAGTGCCTCCAGCCTCTTCCTTGCTGCAGAGTTGCAAGCCTTTACCTAGTATTCATATTATCCCAAAAGTAAGCCACAGTGTTTTAAGGGTTGAAGTCGATCAGAAGATGCATTGAACACTCATTGCTAGGAAACCAATTTGTTGAATACTGATAATGAATTAAAACTTAAACAACCACACAAAATCCGTGCAAAGTCTATTTGGAGATTACCACCACCACTGAAGGTTCCAAGCTGACCACAAGACGCATTCTCTAGCTGTCGCACGTAATCCAAAACTTTCAAGTATATTAACTATGCAGCTAACAGACACAAGATAAACAGCCGGAAGCTTCGTTTGGACGATGTTTCGCTGCTCTGATGAAACATTGTCTATGTGAAATCTCCAGTTGCTGCTTTTGTGTGTGCGTTTTTCAATCATATACGACTTCCTGGCATATTTTCACCTATGAAGTCATGCATAGACAGAATAACAACCTATGTGATATGTCAAGATCTCTTATTAATGAAAATAAGATACCGGATATATTAAGCCAATTTCCTAAATTTGTTAGTAACAGATAAGTGAACTGTAGATATGAATCCAGATGTACTCCTGTAAACCCTTTTGGGGCCTAGTTCCTAGGTCTTTTGTGTATCCATATGCTCTTGTGCTACCATCCACAGGATGGATATGAGGTATACAATAAACTAGCCACTTCGTCGGCAAAATTTAATATGAAGATAAACCTCATAAATTATGTTTCATGAGATGGATCAGCCAACACATATTGAAGACTTTCAGAAAATTCCTACTCAGGTTATTTCCTGGAGGAGAAAAATTCCACACACTCTTAAGAATAAAATTATCCAAAACTTACACAATCTGACATCAAGAGGAAGGAAAACGCAGGAAGACTTAAAGTTTAAAGTTGAACGGAAGATGCGATTTACAGTTATTGCACAGAATCCAGAAAAAAATAGTGTTTACACAGCCTTAAATCCGTGAAACTAGTCATCCTTTGATTCCTATACCCTAAAACAATAATCATCCTACCTCCATATAAGTGGATTGCATCACTCTTGAGAGTTTGAAGCCGACCAGTAGAGTCATTCTCAAGTTATCACACAGAAACAATTATTGAGGATGTTCTATATAAAATTGATCGTAGGGCATCTGCACATTAGTTGTAGTTATAGTTCACTAATGCTGAAAATTTAGGTCGATCTGACGAAGCGTTCTCAAGTTACAAGCCATAACCTTCATGACAGGGACAAAAACACTGTTTCTAGGGATGTGACTGCTTCTAGAATAAAACCGTAATATAATATATATATATATATATATATATAAAATATATATATATATATATATATATATATATATATATATATATATATATATATATATATATATTATATATATATATATATATATATATATATATATATATGTATATATATATATATATATATATATATATATATATATATATATATATATATTTATGTATATGTATGTATGTATGTATATTATTATTATTATTATTTAAAAGTTCGCAAAGCTTATGAAACTCAGTCATAAAAATGCGAGTGTTTGTACTTTTTTCAGTTACTTTTATTTTAAATTTCCAACAATCCTATATGAATAAAGGTCCCCTTGGTTGGTATATATGTCGGGCCGCCACACCCTGACCTCACCACAAACTGATAACACGAAGATGGCGACTATTGCTTCACGACAGACTCCGTCTTACCATCGTATCCAGTCATCAGTTATTATATTCACTGAGGACCTCGTAACATCACTGAGTCAAGCAACATCTGAGGTCTAGGAGAGGTGAGGAGTAATCAGGTTAGATCTGACGAAGGGGTGGAGATTAATTTCAATTTCTTGCATCAAGAGCTCATCGCCAGTATTAAGTTTCATTAAAAAAACTTACCACGGGTGGGGATTGAACTCGTGGCGAGCTCAAACCCCACCAGCGCTGGCCTGGAGTTTTACTACTCACTCGCCACGAGTTTAGTCACCACCCTGGAGGTTACGTGGAGGTTACCTGGAGGTTATTCCGGGGGATCAACGCCCCCGCGGCCCGGTCCATGACCAGGCCTCCCGATGGATCAGGGCCTGATCAACTAGGCTGTTACTGCTGGCCGCACGCAGTCCAACGTACGAGCCACAGCCCGGCTGATCCGGCACTGACTTTAGGTATCTGTCCAGCTCTCTCTTGAAGGCAGCCAGGGGTTTATTGGCAATTCCCTTAATGCTTGATGGGAGGCTGTTGAACAGTTTTGGGCCCCGGACACTTAGGGTGTTTTCCCTTAGTGTACCAATGGCGCCCCTACTTTTTATTGGGGGCATTTTGCATCGCCTGCCCAGTCTTTTACTTTCGTAGGGAGTGATTTCTGTGTGCAGATTTGGGACCATTCCTTCCAAGATTTTCCAAGTGTAGATTATGATATATCTCTCCCTCCTGCGTTCCAGCGAGTAATCCGGGTACGGTTTGTTTGCAGTCGTGCCGTTTTATTCGTAGTCATTCAACATCTTCGCAGCAGACTCTTAACTTCCGGCTAACTTACTTCTCCTTATATAACATCTATGAAACAATAGAAATTAGATCGCTTGTTATTCGTATAGCATACAGTGTATAATTAATGTATAATGGATTTTGGCTAGCTGTATATATCATATTAAAATGTTCTTTGTAAAGTCATTCTGGGATATTTATCATCTACCTTCTTCTATAACTTTCACAAAAAAAATGGTCTTGGTGTGTCTACCACAGTTACCCAGACACTCGTCTTAAAGGAATACCTCAGTAAACCAAACACTTGTCTTAAATAATACCTCAGTAATCCAGACACTGGTCTTAAAGGAATACCTCAGTAATCCAGACGCTGGTCTTAAAGGAATACCTCAGTAATCCAAACACTGGTCTTAAAGGAATACCTCAGTAATCCAAACACTGGTCTTAAAGGAATACCTCAGTAATCCAGACACTGGTCTTAAAGGAATACCTCAGTAATCCAGACACTGGTCTTAAAGGAATATTTCAATAATCCAAACACTGGTCTTGAAGGAACACCTCAGTAATCCAAAAATTGGTCTTAAAGGAATACCTCAGAAATCCAAACACTGGTCTTGAAGGAATACCTCAGTAATCCAAACACTGGTCTTGAAGGAATACCTCAGTAATCCAAACACTGGTCTTAAAGGAATACCTCAGTAAACCAAACACTTGTCTTAAATAATACCTCAGTAATCCAGACGCTGGTCTTAAAGGAATACCTGAGTAATCCAAACACTGGTCTTAAAGGAATACCTCAGTAATCCAAACACTGGTCTTAAAGGAATACCTCAGTAATCCAGACACTGGTCTTAAAGGAATACCTCAGTAATCCAGACACTGGTCTTAAAGGAATATATATCCAATAATCCAAACACTGGTCTTGAAGGAACACCTCAGTAATCCAAAAATTGGTCTTAAAGGAATACCTCAGAAATCCAAACACTGGTCTTAAAGGAATACCTCAGTAATCCAAACACTGGTCTTGAAGGAATACCTCAGTAATCCTAACACTGGTCTTGAGGGAACTCCTCAGTAATCCAAACACTGGTCTTGAGGGAATACCTCAGTAATCCAAATACTGGTCTTGAAGGAATACTTCAGTAATCCAAACACTGGTCTTGAAGGGACGCCTCAGTAATCCAAACACTGTTCTTTAAGGAACACCTCAGTAATCCAAACACTGGTCTTGAAGGAATACCTCAGTAATCCAGACACTGGACTTAAAGGAATACCTCAGTAATGCAGACACTGGTCTTAAAGGAATACCTCAGTAATCCAGACACTGGTCTTAAAGGAATACCTCAAAAATCCAAACACTAGTCTTGAAGGAATACCTCAGAGCAATCCAAACACTGGTCTTGAAGGAACACCTCAGAAATCCAAACACTGGTCTTGAAGGAACACCTCAGTAATCCAAACACTGATCTTGAAGGAACACCTCAGTAATCCAAACACTGATCTTGAAGGAATACCTGAGTAATCCAAACACTGGTCTTGAAGGAACACCTCAGAAATCCAAACACTGGTCTTGAAGGAACACCTCAGTAATCCAAAAACTGATATTGAAGGAACACCTCAGTAATCCAAAAACTGATATTGAAGGAACACCTCAGTAATCCAAACACTGGTCTTGAAGGAACACCTCAGTAATCCAAACACTGGTCTTGAAGGAATACCTCAGTAATCCAAACACTGGTCTTGAAGGAACACCTCAGTAATCCAGACACTGGTCTTAAAGGAATACCGCAATAATCCAAACGCAGGTCTTGAAGGAATACCTCAGAGTAATCCAAACACTGGTCTTAAAGGAATATCTCAGTAATCCAAACACTGGTCTTAAATGAATACCTCAGCAATCCAAAGACTGGTCTTGAAGGAATACCTCAGAAATCCAAACACTAGCATTGAAGGAATACCTCAGTAATCCAAACACTGGTCTTGAAGGAGCACCTCAGTAATCCAAACACTTGTCTTGAAGGAATACTTCAGTAATCCAAACACTGGTCTTGAAGGAATACCTCAGTAATCCAAACACTGGTCTTGAATGAACACCTCAGTAATCCAAACACTGGTCTTGAAGGAATACCTCAGTAATCCAAACACTGGTCTTGAAGGAGCACTTCAGTAATCCAAACACTGGTCTTGAAGGAACACCTCAGTAATCCAAACACTGGTCTTGAAGGAACACCTCAGTAATCAAAACGCTGGTCTTGAAGGAACACCTCAGTAATCCAAACACTGGCCTTGAAGGAACACCTCAGTAATCCAAACACTGGCCTTGAAGGAACACCTCAGTAATCCAAACACTGGCCTTGAAGGAACACCTCAGTAATCCAAACACTGGCCTTGAAGGAACACCTCAGTAATCCAAACACTGGCCTTGAAGGAACACCTCAGTAATCAAAACGCTGGTCTTGAAGGAACACCTCAGTAATCCAAACACTGGTCTTGAAGGAACACCTCAGTAATCAAAACGCTGGTCTTGAAGGAATACCTCAGTAATCCAAACACTGGTCTTGAAGGAGCACTTCAGTAATCCAAACACTGGCCTTGAAGGAACACCTCAGTAATCCAAACACTGGTCTTGAAGGAGCACCTTAGTAATCCAAATACTTGTCTTGAAGGAACACCTCAGTAATCCAAACACTGGTCTTGAAGGAACACCTCAGTAATCCAAACACTGGTCTTGAAGGAATACCTCAGTAATCCAAACACTGGTCTTGAAGGAACACCTCAGTAATCCAAACACTGGTCTTGAAGGAACACCTCAGTAATCCAAACACTGGTCTTGAAGGAATACCTCAGTAATCCAAACACTGGTCTTGAAGGAACACCTCATTAATCAAACACTGGTCTTGAAGGAATATCTCAGTAATCCAAGCACTGGTCTTGAAGGAACACCTCAGTAATCCAAACACTGGTATTGAAGGAACACCTCAGTAATCCAAAACTAGTCTTGAAGGAACACCTCAGTAATCCAAAACTGGTCTTGAAGGAGCACCTCAGTAATCCAAAACTGGTCTTGAAGGAGCACCTCAGTAATCCAAAACTGGTCTTGAAGGAGCACCTCAGTAATCCAAAACTGGTTTTGAAGGAATACCCTCAAGTAGCTGTTTGGATTTTTTTCTCCAAAGTTTTAGTTTATAACTCGACAACGTTTAATCCGATCACCTAAAAAAATTCAGAGCTGGTGCAGTGTTACTAGGGAAAAGTTCTCAAAATAATTGGCATGTGCAGGTACAGTTTGGTTAATTTTTCATATTATTTTCCCGGATTTGGTAGGTAGATAGGTGTAAGGTTTGTCAGGAAACAGAACACAAATGCTTCTTGACGTGAGTTGTAGTCATATGATGACCCACAGCTGCAGTTTTTAGTCATTAGACCGAGGCCTTCCGCTGGCCTCGGTCTAATGGTTATGATTAAAACCCTGTATTTGGTTTCTTTGCAATATCTTGAGAAAGCCTCTTGGGATCGGCTTCAAACTCTCAGTATTCATGCATTCTCCTCAGATGGCTCGGCTTGCTATTGGAGAGTGTAGATGCCAATTTGCCAGTTATAACTTTAAAATAGTGTAGCATTATACACAACCCGTACATAGGAGAGAGAAGCTTATCACGACGAGAAGGTAGTTTACTGTGTCAGGTAATTACTGGTCTGCAAATGAACGCCTTATCGAGAACCCATGATTTTTTAAATCTTAGAAATTTTCTAGAGAATACTGAATTGCCCGATTGACTTATAACTGAAATTATTTAACTCTGGTTCATGTAATTATCCAACAAGTAGAATGCTTGTCGGCAATTCCCTACATACTTCTAAGTTCCAAGTGTCTTGGATTAGTGCCTTGAACACAGTTCTTGAATTTAAATAAATATACTCCTTATTTTTATTCGAAAACTGTTGTTTCAGCTACTGCCAGACTTACAGCTCATATTCCCTCAGATGCGCATAACTCAGTTCATCTTCCCATTCATTTTCCCACAACTTTTGCTTTAGTCACCACTTAGACATCCAGTTCCGTTTTATTCATAATGTTATGTAGGTATAATTATATAGCAGCATGTGAGGGACAGTCCCTCACATGCTGCTGTAGTTTACCAGGGTGAGTTTTTTGTGATTGGCTGTCGTGCACCTGGCTGGAGCCAATAGTGGTAGACTTCCATGGCCCTGAAAATTATTTATAGTGCAGTAGTGTATATAAATATGGACAGAAAGCTGAGGTTGGTCCACTCAGAAAACGAGTAAATGTCAGTTCGAAAAAAAGTGTAAAATGCCAAGGATTGGGCAGATGAAGATGGAGGAACTGATACTAATGACGTATGTAAGTAGGAACTGAGGTGGGTATCTAGTGCTGGATGTAGAGACTTAGGCGGGTGTACGATGTAAGATGTAGGGATGGATATACCTCTATGGGTGAAAGTGGGTGAACAGTATTAAATGTAAGAATGAATATGCCTGTAGCGATGGATGCAGGGATGAAAATAGATATAGAATACAAGGTTGCTGTGGGAATGGATGCGAATACATGTATACAGTGTGTGTGGGTGAATGTATGGACGTTTATGCAGGGATGAAGTGGTATATTATGGTGGATATAGGGATGACGGTGGCCCGTAGCCTGGTAGGAAACGCTCTCGTTTCACTCAGTAAGTGTCCGTGGTTCGATCTCCGGCAGGGGTGGAAACACTGGGCTTGTTCCTTACACATCTTATCCTGTTTACCTAGCAAACATGTAGGTACTTGGGTGTTTCTCGATGACGCAATGCCTTGGGTTATTCTGGATGGCTAACCCTCTGGGGTTAAAAATCAGAACAAAATTTTATCTTAAAGTAAGTGGAGAGTATTAGAAGAATGTGAAGCTTGCTTGTATTGTGAACATCCAATTTATACTTAATGGTTGCATTAACATGACGTAAATTTTTTTGTGCTGTGCTTAAGTTGATATTTGGTTTGTAATATCAAAACTTCACATAAAATATGAGTCATTATTCGTGTGGATAAATTATATGAAAGTGTTTAAGAAAAAGTAATCATAATATGCAGATGCTTTATTTACATGGAAATTCAGTGTTTATAAATACATGTATAAATATGAATGACACTGGGCATTATAATGTCTGTACATAGAGAAAGTTCAGATGAAGAGAAAACTGTACTTTAACATTAGATTCAGAGAGCATGAAAAATTTAAATGCTTCATAATCGTCCCTCTCGTTCCTCGCGCTTCCTCTCCTCCTCGGCGAAGGCGATCTGTTCGAGGACGAACTCAGGGATTTCGTGGGGGAATTCAGGAGCCACGGGAAGCAGGTCGGACTGTGGTTGGAAGCCGTTCTCGTCAGCCACATACTTTACTGATGCAATACTGCCATCCTCCAGGGGGTAGCTGAGAAGAAACATCCTCATTACGGTCAATATTTGACACTGGCTTTATATATTATTTGTTCTATTCATCGCTAAAATACATTCAGCTGTAAGTTTTAAAACAAATTTTATGGAAGCAGACCACGGTACGGGCGGGGACTCAACTCGTTAAGCTCCAGACTGGCTCGTTAGCCACTGGGCCAGCTGGCTACAATAAGATTAATCCAACTAGGTATATTTATACACAGTGGTGCCTATGCTAACCTTCCCATAGTGTACAAATATAAATATACCAAGTTGGATGTATCTTATTGTAGCCATCTGGCCCAGTAGCTAACACGCTGATGTAGAGTTTTACGACTCATTAGCCGCGAGTTCAACCCCAAACCATACAGTGATTTGTTTGCAATCGTATCATTGCAATTCCATAAGTCTTTATGGGCGCAATAGGAAACAAAAATAAATATTGCGCATAATCTGGATGTCAAAAGTTAATGCTCAGATTGAGCATTAACATAAATTAGGTTTACCAAGACCAGTTTACAAGTCACTGTAATTGAAGCGCCGAGACTTATGTATATGCAATGTTAAATGATAAATGACATGTTGCACGAGAAGGTGGATGGCAAAAGTCCCAGAATAAATTCAGGAAGAACAGTTGAACAGTATGAATTGTGCTGCCCTGAATAAAACTTATTCTAATTATACACATATTATATGTGAGGCAAATAATCAATGATCTAGTTGCATGTATGTTCTCTTAGATGGTAATTATAGAGAAGTGGGATAGTTTGGAAGTTAAGAAGTTGCAAAGATGGTGTTAACCTGCATATTAATGGTGACAGTTGTGGGTTGTATATTTTCTTGGGTGTGATATAAACAATTTTAGAAGGAGCTCAATTATGTAAGGAGGGAGCTGAAATAGACATCAATAGTCGGTACATAGGATACAAAACTGTGGCGTAGAATGGTTGAACTTTCTTAAAAATGTCAAGATAACTTAATGTAAAGACGTTTAGGTGGACAAGTACTGTTGGATATTTATAAACAACTGACATACGATCCTTCGTAAATTAACTAATGTTTACCTGTATGAGCCAATTAAGTTGGAACCTCCAGTGGGACCCTGAGAACCAGAAACCTGAACTTTAATGCCGTCCTCGCTCTCAAATTCAGCACTGTGGGCACCAGCAGCGTCTGGGTTGGTCTGTTGACTGTGGAGGATGAGTACAGGAGAGACAGGTAGCTTGTCGGCCACCGCCACAGCCACTATAGCCAAGATCACGATCTGAAATATAAAAATATTATTAATAAATTAAAAGAGATCCATTAATAGGCTGTGGGGCATATGTTGCCTTTTGCAGTTACTTGGATCAAATCTAATTACTCCCTCCTCGCTCATTCATTAAAGGTTGTATGAAAATGTTTAATGCTGCCCTTCAAATAGAAAAATATTATATATCCGCTGGAAATAATAATATATATGACTGCGAGTGCCCAAAAGCCTGTCTGTGGAGATGGACTCACAAGCTTCATGTTGTCAGGTAGTGAGCGTCTGTGAGGTCTGAGTACTGTGGCTCGACTTATATACCAAGCGAGGGGATGGTCAGTCAGGGTCACACTGTCAAAAGTTGTCTTACAACTCTGGGTCTACGCCTTCGTTTTCTTTCCTTTACATAAATAGAACGGCCTTGTATTATCTGTATAATTGCTTGCTGATAAGAACGACTACTAGGTAAAGTCTGACCTGCTGTCCATGACTCCTGCCTTTCTCTCTGCATCTCTCAGTTCGCGTTCTCCCAGATATCGCGGGAGAGGAAAGGAAGCTCCCCTGGGACGAAATGGAAATTAAATAACTTTTCAATTATGATTTTGGATGTTATGGTAAATTCTTCTTCTTTCTATAGCCATACTTACTTTATGAGCAAACATAATTTGTCTGCACAAATATTGTATAACATTTTATTTGTATTATCGAAATACTGGAAAAAACCTACGAACTGTAATGAAAGTGTACAGCACACTCAGGAAGACTCGTATTACGACAATCCATTGACACACTCAGTTCACGGAGTTCACTACCTTTTCAGAAGATAGGCACATGTGTAATATAATCTGAACAGCTCTATGTTGGTTGTCCTAGCATGAAGATTTTACTGTTAAAGCGATATCCATCTTCTTTCTAACATCCACCACCATTTCCACACCCACGTATATTCTTTCACCCACATCCAACTTTACACTGCCTCATCTGCACTTTTTCTGACATTAAAAGTAATTCCAAAAGATTCATTTAAACACTCTCAACGCAAATATCATAATAATGTGGAACCACTAAATCTTTAAGTCATATAATGTCTGAACGATGGGAGTTACTGAGGTTTGATTCGAAGAAGGGGAGGATAATTCTAATTACTCAGATTAAGGGCGTTTCAATGATGTTAAAGCACTCCCATTAAAGGGTCAATTCCTACAAGAATCTCTAAACTCATTTTCTCTACACTCCTCACTGCTCTAGTGATTCAAACACTATTGCCCAAAGTGTACAGATGTACAGAAATTTTCTAATTTCCTGAAGTAAAATTAGTTATTTAGATTATCAGGTAATGTTCTTGTATGAGCCATTAAGAAACTCTTGTAATTCATGAGAAGTTATGTAGTAATGTGTATGTATTATGTGTTTGTAGGAATAATTCCACCAATCAACACGCGTTATCAGCTACTCGTAAGAGCATAAACAGGAACACTGTAACAGGTCTATTGACCCATACTTGGCAGGTTGGTGTCAAACCCAAACACACTGACAAAGGTATTCGCCCAACTCATTATCAATATTACCCAAGGAATAAGCTTATTAACTCAAGTTCAAGACCCACTCAAAACCAACTTCTTTCACTCATGTAAATTCCACCAAGCATCATATATTACAATGTAATTCATTAACATTTTGAGAATTGCTATTAAGAATAATATACTTCCAGAAAAAAAAAGGAAATATCAAATTTAGTATTCTAAAAATAACTGAAATATTGTTAAACTTTGAGTAATGAGGCATTCATTAATATAAATTGAAAATTAGAATCCCTTCGCTTTTCCACTGAGCACATAAATTGGGAGAAGCTTCCATAATAACTGTCACAGGAGATAGTCATCTTGAAGTCGGATACAGTTAAATCGCACGAAACCTGTATTAAATCTCTTCCGCAACTCAGACATCACCTGCAACAATCGTGGTGACAACTACGAACTGCAACAGAGAATTGACAGAGCTAGATCTACGGATGCTGCCAGGAGAATGAGTTACGAAGTTGTTGGTTCCTACACAGAAATACACACGAATATGTAGTATCTTCTCTTCCAAGTAGATGTTCTTATGCTTATAAATATACCTTTTCGTGTATGGGCCCTACATAAATAGTGCTAGACTGCATGAAATCACCAGAAGAAACTTGAGTGCAATGCCCATGGTATCTTGAAACTCTGTGCCAGGGATATATCATATGTAACCTTTGTCCACTGAATATCTAATGAAACATTATTTTTTAAATGCCTCCTCGTTGTTAGCATTATGTTAATATTGAAATAAATTATGGTAAAAATACTTTTCTGGAATAAGTGATGACATGAATAGTTATCTAGGTATCCTGAGGTAGGTAGTGACAGGTCCCCAGAGGAAAGTCGTGGTAAAAACCCAATGTAATATTATATATAGGAACATTGCTAATGATACCTGCAATGCTAAACAAATTTTGTAATTCAAAGTATCTTTTTCTTTTATATGTGGGTATCCCTAAAAGTGCAGGTCGGTAATTTCTCCTCACAAATCTAAATTCCAACTATTATCTTAAACACTGTTCTTGAATTTCAACAATTATTTCCCTTTTATTTTCATACAAAAAATTGCTCATTCACTTGCACTGCTACATTCTTCTTGTTTCCTTGTTATCGCCTTCTCAATCATTTTGTCCCAACTTTATTTTTCTTTCATTCACTCTTAAGACTTCCAGTTTTTCCTTCATTCATAATGCTCACAGGAATTTATCTCAGCAAAATATATCTACGAGTGTACTTTATTGCCTATTTTAGGGATTAAAGTATTTCTTGTTAAGTTACCGTGCAGCCTTAACGATCCTCGTGTAGTCGACAAGCTTTAAACTCCATTTAAACCCGAAGCTAACCTTCATAATATTTATGTCGCTTTAATGCACAAGAGCATTTAACGTGACCTTCACTATTTTCAGAAAGAGCAACAATTTTCAGGGTGTGGTTTTGTGGTTGGCTGTCGTGATCCTGCTACAGCCTGTAGTGTTATATTTTTTAAATTTTAATTAACACACGGCCGATTCCCCCCAAGGGCAGGGGGCCCGAAAAAGAAAAACTTTCCCATATTCGCTCCATCACGTCTTGCCAGAAGGGTTTTTTACACTACATTTTTTTAAACGCAACTTAACACCCCCCCCTTCAATGCGCACTGTACCCCCCCCTCCCAGACTCAAGCCCGGTCTGCCGTTTCCCTAAATCCCTTCAAAAATGTTACTTTGCCACACCCCAAACAGACGTCAAGTTTTAAAAAACCCATTTGCCTCCATTGACCCCATCAAACACTTTTCACGAGCCTCCGGAAGTCCAACCCCTCGCACCCAAAACCTCCTTTCCCCCCCTCCCCCAAACCCTTTCCTAGGCGACCCCTACCCCGCCTTCCTCTACTACAACTGATGCACTTTTAAAGTCATTCGTTTCGCCCATTCTCTCTACATGTTCAAACCACCTAACAACCCTTCCTCACCCTCTGGACAACATTTTGGTAACCCCGCACCTCCTCCTAACTTCCAAACTACAAAATTCTCTGCTTTATATTCACACCACACTTGCCCTCAGACATGACATCTCCACTGCATCCAGCCTTCTCCCGCTGCAACTTCATCAGCCATGCTTCACACTCAAAAGAGCGTTGGAAAAAACTATACCTCATACTTTCCCCCTTTTGCTTCCAAGGACAAAGTTCTTTGTCTCCCAGACTCCTAAGGCCCCGCTCACCCTTTTTTCCCCTCATAAATTTCATGATTCACCCCATCTTTCATAGCCCCATCCGCGACACGTCCTCTCCCAAATACGGAATACATTCACCTCCCCATACTCCTCCCCCGAATCTATATCCAATCTTTCATCACCCAAATTTTTGTTTTCCCCAAACCTTATCTTTTCCCGTTTCACTTTTTAATTTTTTTTTTACACCCCACCAATTCATCCACCAACCCTGCAACTCTCTTTAAATCTCCCAAGAGCACAGTGTCACAGCAAAAAACAACTGTGCAACTCCCACTTTTGTTGGGTTCTTTTTCTTTTTAAACCCACGCCTCTTGCCAAGACCCTTGCATTTTCTTCTCTTACAACCCCTCTATAAGTATATTGAACAACCACGGTGACACTCACATCCTTGTCTAAGGCCTACTTTTACTGGGGAAAAATCTCCCTCCTTCCTACATACTCAACTTGAGCCTCACTATCCTCGAAAAACTATTCCTGCTTTTAGAACCTACCCCTAACCATACCCTTGCAACTCTGCCACATTTAACCCCCCATCCACCCTTCAACCCTTTTTCAAATCCCTAAATCCCCAAAAACCTCTTTACCCATCTAGATACTGGGCGCTTATAGTCTCGCTGTAAAAAACCTTGGGCTACCCACCCCTACCTTTCCTAAAGCCCCTTGTTTGCCCATCCTATTCTCCCCTCTTACCTTTAAATTTTTTCAATAAAACTCACCCTACACTTTTTCCCGGGTTTCCAACAACTCATTTCCCCAAATTTTGCACTCTCTTTTTACCCTTTGCCTTATACAAAAACTAGCTGCTCTCTGCCCAAACCCTAGGTACCTTTACCCTCTTTCCCTACATTTATTAAATAATAGCACCAAACCCCCAAACTATATCCCCCCTTCTTTTAAATTTTTATCTTTTAAACCCCCAATCCCAGTTCCTTACCCCTTTTCATTTTAATTTTTTCCTCACACTTTTTCCCCACACCACACTGGGTCTTCTCACCCTCAAATTTATTCCTCCTTGCCCTATACACGAAATCACAGCTTCCCTACTTCATCAACATTCAACAATTCCTCAAAAAAATTCCCTCCATCTTTTCCAAACCTCTAAATTTTCCTTTTAAAAACTCTCCTCCCTATTTAACTGACAGATCCATTTTTTCTTTTGGCTTCCCTTAACTTCTTAATCTCACTCCAAAACTTTTTCTTATTTTCAACAAAATTTGTTGACAACATCTCACTCACTCTCTCATTTGCTCTTTTTACATTGCTTCACCACTCTCTTAACCTCTCTCTGTTTCTCCATATACTCTTTCTTCCTTGCATCACTTCTACTTTGTAAAAACTTCTCATATGCTAACTTTTTCTCCCTGACTACTCTCTTTACATAATCATTCCACCAATCGCTCCTCTTCCCTCCCGCACGCACTTTCCTGTAACCATAAACTTCTGCTGAACACTAAAATTACATTTTTAAACCTACCCCATACATCTTCGAGCCCATTGCCTATGATCTCATTAGC